GAGGTAATCAAGTTCAGGTGTTATCCTATTATTTCAGACAAGTAAAAAGCATTTGGCTTTAAAAAAAAAAAAATCTATTACACCCCCACACAATGGTTTCCTCCTGCTCCCCTCTGCCCTGCTCCTTTAATATCTACAAGTTGCACAGGTTGTTTCAGTATTGAGCCCCCTTAAGTTAACTGAAAAAGCAAAAGACTCAATTTGCTGCTCTGGGCTTACTTTATTAGGCTGCCATCAGCATGAGTTGGATTTGAGCTTTGTTATAGGATACAATCTGAAAACAGCCTCCAGATTTCCCACACACAGATTTTAACCATTTTAAAGGGGGAAGGCAGAGAGACTATAAGGGACGAACTACCTTCCCCTTCTCTCCTGAGTACATGACAGACAGATCTTACCTGTTCTTAACAATCCAGTATTTCTTCCCATCTACATCTTCCCCCTCAAAGCCATAACCTACAACCAGAACACCATGGTCCAAGTCTTCACTGCTGCAATCTGGTTCATAGTAGATACCTGTGAAGGCATAAGTTCACATGCGAACAAGCTCATCAACAGAAAACCCTTTGCCCTCACCAGAAGCTTTGTATATATCCAATTAAATGTTGCACAGCCTCTTGAAAGTTAGAGTAAGGAGTCATAAGCATATCACGGCAGAAACTGAGGGACAAGTACAGAAGTATGTAAGAGAAATGCAAGTTATTAAATCCTCACCTGACTGATAGAACTGGAATGAAGTATGGCCTGCATCAATAGCAACAGACACTGGACCCACAGCTGCAACTGCTTTCATGAGAGCTCTTTCGTGTCCTTGAGGGATGTCAACAAAGCCAGTGTCATTAGCAGCATTGTATTCTGCCTTGTAGCGACAGTCTTCATCATCCTAAATAGAAAAAGCTGTAGGTATTACCAGTTCTCCACTTAACACACAGGTGAGCACAGAACTACCAGGCATTCTGAGACTTTCCTGCCTTGAAACCACGGGACTGAAAAGGATCCAATTGCTTCAGCAGCGCTTTCAAAGGAAAACAGAGGGGGAATATAGAAGCTGCTTCTGAGTTTCTCAGAAGTACAGAAAAATAAAGGACAGCGAAGCCCCCCCACCTCCAAAAAAAGAGCTTTACTGGGTTGCAAAGAACCATAATATTCTGGAACTCTGCCCTCTTTGGTGGGCAGAACATATCTTTCCAGGGAGGAAAGAAGCCCAGAATGCACTAATGGCCAATGGAAGAGGGCCAAGTATTCATTAGTTACAAAGCAATCCCATTACTGTTTGTTGAGCAAGCACTAAAATTGACAATTTTATGCTATCAGAGGTTGAAATACTGTACAGAATGATTCAAATGCTAGTAATTTGTATTACGTGACCTTACATATCAAAAACACATTTGTGTATTTTGTGCTTCTTCACGTTGCCTTTTTTTTTTTTTTTGGTTGGTTTTACAGTAAGCCTGAACTGCTGGTGCAAAATGCACTTACCTCAGGAGAGAGGCGAGGCCTAGTTTGGAAGTCAGGTCATGTGAAACTGAAACCGACTCAAGTAAGCACATCCCTCCCTTACCTTGTAGAGTACTAAAATTGTTTCTCCAACTAGAGGAACAGAGTACAGCTCAGTTGCTTACTTTTTGTACTCAGCAATTTAGGAATTTTCTATAATGAACTAGGATCTCTAGAATAGCCAAGATTAGGAAAAGTTGAGATTTCAGGACACAGATAAACAGGAAACCCAATCCAAAGGCTTCTGTGTTGTTCACAACAAATGGCATTGCTATTGCCCATTCAGACAGCATAAAAGAAGCTGCAAGAATATATCCTCTATTGTGAACATAACTCCTAAGCGGCAAAACCCCCAAACCATGGGCTTTCAAGTGATACCCTGATTTACTCCTGCTCTTCCCTCCTCTTATATCAGTTTAACATTTGATGGATCACTAGAGGTATTTTAAAAGTCTGTCCATGACCTTCATTTATGTGCACTTAGTCCAGAACTTAAAGCATTACCAACAACTGTTACAAAAAAAATGACACTAGCAACAAGAATTAGGTGATCTATAGGTATCAACTCTGGGAATATAGGTCAACTATGGGGAAAAAAAATTCTTTCCCTACAACTAAGTAGCACCACTGACAAGGGCTGGGTTCCTGGTTTGGTGTGGCAACCAAGATAAGGCATGATGTCTGACAGGAGGGCAACAATGAGGGGGAGGAATAAAAATATTTGCTCTAGTTTTTCTAACTGGTCTGGCTAGATTTTGACCACAAAGACCAGCACAGTATGTGATTCCTACTGGGGCTAGCAGTTGTGCTAAGTTATCTTAGCAAAGATGCAACAGGAAGAACAGACTTACTGATCACTATAAAAACATTTTCCTTTTTAGGTATGAGTTTTACAACACAGTTTCTCCACGCGAAAGACATGATACTTGTAATACAAGTTCAGCTATTACACTTACCTTTGCAGTGTATGGGTACGATTCCTCAGAATCAATGCCCCCATTATCCTGCACATACTGGAAAGCCTGGTCCATGAGACCACCATTGCAGCCTTGATTTCCTTCAGGGCGAGAACAGTCCACCAGATTCTGCTCACTCAGTGAAACAAGTTTGCCAGTTTTTCTGAAGTGCTGCCCTTCAAGAGCTCCTGTTGTGCTGAAAGCCCAGCAAGAGCCACACTGACCCTGATGTATAAAGTGAAATCAAAAGTTGCAAACCCAGACAAACTAGGCAATTACATTTCTCTTATCACTTATCTAAGCAAGAAAGACAAAAAAAAAGAAAGATAAATTTGCTTGCACACTCCTAACATGTACAAGTGAAGATACTGCTGAGTTGCGAGACATTTAGTACAGAAGTCCTAAGAAGTCCTAAAGAGGTACAGCAGTTTCAACAAAGTGGTACTTAATCTAGTAAGCTTGTACTAGGCTTCATTAAACAGGTAGACAGTGTTTTTCCTCTATAGAAGCGGATAGAAGCATTCAGGAAACTCGACCTGTAATTGTTTAGAAATCCACCAACAGATAGTACCTGGTCTTTAACTGGAGTTACATATCCCTTCTCTCGCCAGTCTACTGAGCGTGGCACTTCAAGGAAGTTGGGCTCAAGAAACTGGGATCCTCTGTACCTTTTTTCTGACTTCTTGTGTACATAACCATTCATCAGCTGTCTGAACTCCTCAGTTGTCTGAAAAACAATTCAATATATGCATTCACCATCTATTACACATCACTATTTAGAACAATTACATTTCATGCCTCTATACATACCATGTCACCAAACTGATTCATTCCCAACTTGTAGCTGTGTTTTCCTAATGTGTGATCCAGGTTATGGAGTTCAATCATTTTCAGATTCTTCTCCCACACCGCTCTCCTCCAGCTTTCCTCTCTCTGAGGGGCAAAAAGCCATCATATTTCAGAAAGGCAGTTTAAACAAAGCCCACTTCTATGACAACGAGCTTTGTTAAGGCTCCCATACTCAGGCAAATGTAGACTACTCGAATGGGAAGTCTGAACGCTATTTAAGAGGTGGCCTTTTTGCCGCACTCGTAACAAAAACAAGGAGTACAGCGCAGCTGAGTCGATGCACAAGCGCAGGGAAGGGACCTGGGAAGAGGGGGACTGTCCTTCCCACGCGCAGCCCACAGCCGGCGCCGCAACAAAGCAGACATGACTCAGCTGGCGAGCCCAGCTGCGTGTGCTCGGCAATGGCCCAGACGAGACAAGCCCCGGGGCTCACCTCATGGTAGTCCTTGTTGTGCCACGACTTCCACAGCTGCCAGTGCCCGTCCAGATCGGGGTCCAGTCTCGGCGCACCGAGAGCCAGGCCCAAACAGAGGCTGAGCGCGGTCACGAACGGGTTCATGCTGGCAGATCTGCTGGGGACGGAGGAAGGTCGGTCAGGTAGAGCTCCCTGAGCTCCGCAGCCCGGAGCACGGACGGGGTGCCGGACCCGCGGCCGCACCGCGCCCCCGCCACCCGATCGGCGGGGCCGAGCACCAGCGCCCCGCGCCGCGGCTGTAAACAAGCTCGGGCGGCGGGGCCGCGATGCGGGGCGGGGAGCCGGCAGCCTCCCGGGGAGGCGGCTGGAATGGCGGCCTCTTCCAGGCAGGACAAGGCCCCCACCGCGAGACAAGGACACAGCCAAGGCCAGCCTCCTACGCGCCCCTCCCCCGCCTCGCAGCCCCCTCTCACCTCGTTCAACAACGTCCACTACTCTACCGACTGCCCGACCCGACGACGCCCGGTGTCCGCGGCCCCTCTTATCCCCACCGCGGCCGTGCCCGCCCCGCCGCGCCCATTGGCGGCCAGGCCGGGCCGCACCTCCCACCGGGCCCGGGGCGGGGGCTGCCGGGGCTCCCCCCACAGCGCCCCGGAGAGCGGACCATGCGTGGCCGCCCCGGTGGCATCCCGCACCGCCGGAGCCGCTACTTTGGGCAGTGCTTGTCTAAGTATTTATTCCGAGCGCTGTCGGACCGGAGATAGTGGCAGCACGCTAAGCCTGCTGAAATTTAACCCTGGGGAACTTAAAGCGGGCAGCTGGCAGTGCAAAGGAAAAACAAAGTCTGGAGGCAAAGAGACACGAATGGCGGATGCTGGCAGCCCCAGCCCTGTCCCCAGGCTCCCGGTAATGGCTTCTGCTGGGGGAAGGCTGGCGAGGCGGGTCCCGTGCTGCTCTGGCTGAGCCTGGCCCTTGGTTCCTCTGGCACCCGAGCCCCCTCCTCCTCCCTGGCAGAGCTGCTGCCTCTGCAGCTGTGCCGCAGGCCTCGGGCAGCGCGGCTGGCAGGGCCATTCGCTGAGGATGGCATCCCGGAGGTTTGAGGGCACGGTCCCAGTGGCTTGGCGGTGACACTGTAACAGAAACATTTCCAGGAAAGTCCTTTTTATTCCCCCGTGATTTAATATCTGAAAACTGCCTTTATTATTATTATTATTTTATTATTATTATATTTTTTTTTTCCTCTGCCTCTGGATCCAAGCTCCGTAAGAAGTATTTTGCCATATGGCTAATGTTTGTGTGCATAGCGTCCACTAATGCCTGCTGGAATACACTATGACACCAAGAGTTGCAGCACTGGTGAGATATTAAAAGGGTTACACATGGACTTGTGGTAGCAATACACTGCATTGCAGTAAGCAGTAGTGGACAAGTTTTGATGTTTAACAGTCTCTAGTTGTAGAATAACAGTAAGAGCTATGCAAGGTTCATCCTTCAGCTCATGTAAAGCCAGCATTGCTGATGGCTTTAGCTTACAAACTTGAGGGCATGTATTTAGAGTAAGAAACAGGGTCTGTAGGCTGTTGCACAACAGCAAAAAAACATATCATATGATAGGAGCTTCTGCCTTTTCTGATGTCTCAATACACACAGTTGTGTTCCTAAAACAAGCAATACATTTCCTTAGCCAGATTACCTCAGTAGCAGTGTTTGGGCCAAGGAAGCCCCACAAAGTCTCCCTTTTGTTAGTATCTTTCCACCATGAAATTTTTTTACTGCATAATCAATACACATTTAAATACCCCAGGAGAGTTAGATGAACTTCATGTAGTTTGATTAACTCATAATTATGTGGTTTTTTTTTTTTTTTTTTTTTTTTATGGGAGCCCCTGGTGGTCTAGAGGGTAAAGGCGCTGCACTGTCACCGCAGAGGCCCTGGTTCGATTCCCGGTCAGGGCCCCTCCCCGGGCAGATGGAGCTCGTTAACCCTGTAAGGCAATCCATCTACGTCCTGAGGACCTCGCTGCCACCGTCCAAGCTCGCTTGGCCCCAGCGGATGAACCTCAGGATTAAAGGGTGGGCTCAGTTCCGCGCACACTGTGTCTCACCTAAAAAATCCAATGCGCAGGCTGGAAGGTGGAAAGACCTTCCCCAGTTCTTCGTTCGTGAAGACTGGCCATTAATTATGTTTTTTTTTAGGGGTTGTTTTTTTGTGTGGTTGTTTTTTGTTTTGGTTTGGGTTTTTTTTTGAGATGTGTGGCATTTGAAAAGTTTTTACTTAGCTTTTTGCTGACATTTTCTGTTCTCTAAGATTTCTCAGTACTATTTAGGTTAGCTTTGTTTCTGCAACTGTATCTAGCATCAAGTGAGCATTGAGAGGCTACAGGTACATTATCAATGAACTAAGGACAAGGACTTCTAAAAGGACAAGATGTTTAGCTGGCATGACAGGAGGTAAGGTCTAAGTTGCAGAGGGTCTTGCACCATAAGTCACATGTCTGCTGCTCTGTAATGCATCCTAAGATGCACCAAGACAAACTGATGTTCTTCTGGATGGTATGAGGTCCTCTCCGTGGGGAAGTTATCATACAGTCAGCTAGCATGTGATACCACTGTGCTACCTCTCCTAGTGAATACTTTTAGTGCATGTGCACACACACATACACATGCACACACAAGTCCATTTTCACTCTGAAGGTATGTTCACTCTACAAATTTATTTAACAGCTGTACCTAGGGAAATCTTAGTTGAAAATTTGTTGAAATCCTTGAAGGCGACAGGAATACTTTCACCTTCAGCAAGTTTACTTAGGCATGCACTGAGTCATAACTGTTGTGTGGATATATCAGTTCCCCAGGTATTTTCTTAAGGAAGCCTGGGAGGCCAGGTGCAGAACCATGTAAGCATATGCAAGGGAAATCTGCACAGCAACAGCCATGCTCAGAACTTGGTCATCACAAGAGTGCCACTTAGAAACCTACGATAAGAAACTGGCTTAGGACTACCTCCAATTCCTGGATGCACATTTCCTCTAGGAGAATTGTATTATATTGTTATCAACATACAGGCTGCCAGTCATGTTGCAGCAGCTGTTCATTATTTCAGCCAAGGTAAAAATGCTGTTATTACACAGCTATTAGACATCTCCCTGTCACTGTCCCTACTGCTCCTGCCTGTGCACCATGATGTATTCACAAGCCAAACTGCAATTCCAGGGTGATGGTGGTCCGCTGAAGTGCACAGAAGAGGGTCCATTGGCAGCAGTTACAGGTAACTGGGCAGATGCTTCTAGAAATAATCTTCTATCAAACTGTGCAACCTTGTGACAACATGCTGCAGTCACACCAATTGTAGCAGCCTTTGCTGTATAGAAGACATTTCTGTGGGGACTGAGCAATGCACACCTCCCAGGTTAGCAGAGAGAAGAGGTGAAATCAAGAGCTTCTTTAGTTCCTTTGCTTAAAAGCTCAGCTGAAGCCATGGCATCCAGTCCAGAGGAGACCTAGCGAAACCGTGCGATTCACAGTAGTCAGTCTGCAGTAATCTAAGGATCAAAACTTTGAAGCAAGAAGACACTTGCCCATTACTTTAGATCTCTTCCTTTTGGAGGGTAACTTTCCAAGTTGCTTTGAAAACAGCACTCTATATATGCAAACCTCTAGCTGTTTTGCCAAAGGCATACCACTCTTCTAAAACATAGGAACACCACCTTTTTATAACTGATCGTTGCAGCAGCTGAAAGTTTGCCAATTTCCCCGTAGCTATCAGGCCTTTCAAGTTACTAGATAACAGAGGACATGCATTTCTAAACAGTCCCAAGAACTTAGTGTGTTGCCTCTGCAGTTGGAGTTAATTTAGCTTGATCTCCAAGGACACATCACGTCAGTATGAGATGTACCACCGCACGTTGCAGGTGTGCAGCACAATCCTCCCCCTTTGGAACTGCTGTACTTATTAGAATCCAGGATTTTGAAATTTGTTTTGTATGTTTAAATCCTTGCCCTTCTTTGTTGTCCTGGTACAAATGCACAGAGGAGAGGGCCAGTCTGCATATGCCAGAAAATGACCCAGAAATCAGAGCAGTTAAGCTCCTTTGCAATGGCAGTTGACTTGCAAAGCTAGAGGAGGCTGGCAATATGTGAAAAACATCTGAGCAATGTAAACAGAATAAGCTGTGTTACACTCAGCTGTGACAAGTCTGTGTGCACAAGCAGCTGCCACGGACCAGCAATCTCAAGGTAACTCGTGAGCCATGATCCTTAATGAAGTAAAAACAAGGGGTTTGTTTGTATGCCATCTTATCTAAAAAGCAAAGGAAAGACATTTTGTTTAGTCAAACTTGGATTTTTGTATTCTCAAATCTTCGTTCGCGAAGCCTAGCCATGAAGACAAAATTCAGGATTTTTATTGATGGAATTAAAATATTGAACTGGCTTACTTAAAACAAGAGATAACAAGAAATTAGCTCAGTTAGTTAGAACATGGTGCTAATAACCCCATACAGGAACCCCATATGACATGGGCCATTTACCTAAGAGTTGGACTCGATGATCCTTGCAGGTCCCTTCCAGCTCTGAATATTCTGTGAAACAATTGATCTCTGAAAAAGCTATGACTGTGAACATGTTTTTTATACCAGATTAAAGTCCTCTGCCTTAAATCTGGTTTCTGTCATTTAACCTCACTACAGTATAGCTTAAGAATGGACTTCTACAGCAGAATCATCTCAGTCAAGATGCATCTTAAAGTGTTGTCTAGTCCCAAATGCAAATTGCTCTATTTCACAGCAAGCTTTGACTGTGCAACTTCCATTTCCATAAGAAATGCTCCTCATTTTAGTACTTAGTGGCATGTTCAGAAAAGTATTAGGAACTGCAGATATGTTTTTACCTAAATTGATTTGAACGTGTCTTATAAAAAGGCTATGAGTTTCTCTTCTTCCTTGCAGCTCCATGAAAATAAGCAGCCTACCTCCACAACTTAGGTATTTCTCATCAGAGGTCTAATATGGCTTTGGAGTTTATAATGTCCCTCTGGCATTAACCAGGTTCGTTCATAAGTACCTACTTAAGAATCTTTGTTTTGGATTCTCCCGAATGAAATATCAGATTCAAGCCGTGCTTCAGCTGGAGCAGCCGTAATGAAGTTACTTCCATCATTATTAGGTTAGAAAAGGAAGCAGCATTTGTTTGGAGGGAACACAGATAGCATTCTGTGAGTGTTCTGAAAACCTGGGAGATGGTTGGGGAGCAGTGACACAATCCTTCTGAAACACCTCTTTGTTTTTAGGTCTTGTGATCTCCCAGAATAACCATTTCCTCACCCAAGTGCTAGATAAGAAACCGCATTCCAGCTTCTTTGCTGGCCCACGAGGCAAAGACGACTTCGTTTGCATCTCAATATCTTACCTGGTCACAGGAATTGAGGAATGATGCAACGGATTTCTTGCCCTGCAGGAAAGATCGGGTGGGGGTCCTAGCACCACCTCTACTTCGGGGTTAGGATTTCTCAATAGCAGTATTACTTTCCTGTGAGGTTTTCTGATGAAGGTATTTTTTTTTATGCGTGGAAAAGATGAGTTCTTCTGGTTTCTTTTTTTTTTTTTCTTTTACCTTATTTTTTTTAATAGAGCTTTGATGCTGAGTAATATTTGAAGTCAGCTTTGAAGCTTTGACCGTAGTGTAACTCACATACTTAAAATTTTAAACTTCAATTTGATTGATTCCTCATTCATTACTCAGTGTTTCCTCTTGATTTCTGGCAGGTAGTAATTTCTGTGTTTTGGGAGATTTGTGATTTTGAAAGCTAACCAAGGGAAATAGTGGGAGGATGTGGGGAAATATTGTCTTGAAGTGCTGATGTAGAAGCCCACAAATACAGAACAATGTCCACATTGTATTGATGTTTCTCTATAATTTAAAGGACATTGGTGATCTTTTCCTTCTTATACTAAGGAGGATATTTTTTACTTAGAGATAATTTTTACTCCAAAGTGGTTACCATTTCCTGACTCTCCTAATTTAAAATTTTATTGTAACAAGTTGGAAATCTCAAATCTTGTCTGTATTGTAAAGTTCCTCTGACCAAGACTATTTTTTTACTGCCCGTACATACTCTAGAGATCAGAGTGAAGATGTTTTAGCAGATTTCAAAAGTTTCGGGAGGATTTCATATACTGTTTCATATATGAAATCACATTTGGTTTAAACAATGATCCAACATTTCTTTTTTGAAATAGAAGCAGTAGTAAAGTTAGAGAATTATAAATCTTTAAGTGCTCAGGTTAGATGTTCGTGCTTTTGCAAGCCATTGTAAACAGTTGCAGAGCATGAAAGACAAATCTATCTGTCTCCTGTTGTTCTTGGAGCAGTAGTGTCTAAAGGGCAAGCTGACATGCTGGAAAGCATTTCCTATGATAAGGTTAGAGACTAGGAGTGAGGTGAGGAATTATTTTTAAACTTTGAAGTTACAGGCTGGGCTCCATTAACAGATCATGTGAGAGAAGGTTAAACAAAGGTGCTTGCAGAAGAGGAGAGAGGCAATTGAAACAATCAAATATGGGTCTTAAATTTGTTTTCCTGAAAATCAGGTAAGAGGAAAATGAGTGCATGTGCTTTTGGGGTAAGAGCAGTGGTGACTCACAACTGCTGTCATTCCTATTTTGCAAACAGCAGGACTGAGGAAAAAAGGAGCAGTACCATGCTGTTGTGGCCACTGAAATCAAGTGAATGGCCTAGGGAGATTTAACTCCAAGCTCTTCAGCACTGAGATTAGCCATGTTAAATCATAATTACTCTTTTTTCCTATTTCTGCTAATCAAGATAAATGCAAGGATTACCTAGTTTGCAGAATGCAAATACATTATAATGGCCAGTCTCTTCGCAAACGAAGAACCGGGGAAGGTCTTTCCACCTTCCAGCCTGCGCATTGGATTTTTTAGGTGAGACACAGTGTGCGTGGAACTGAGCCCACCCTTTAATCCTGAGGTTCATCTGCCGGGGCCAAGCGAGCTTGGATGGTGGCAGCGAGGTCCTCAGGACGTAGATGGATTGCCTTATGGGCTAACGAGCTCCATCTGCCCGGGAATCGAACCCGGGTCTGAATCGAACCCGGGTCTCTGCAGTGACAGTGCAGTGTATTTTCCCCTGGACCACCGGGGGCTCCCATTATATAAATCAGTGGAAAGCACATCTGCCAGCCTCTGAGATTCAGTTGAAGCATTCTCAGCCCATCGGCCCCCAGGATGCTGGCAACTGCTGTCAGATTTACATAATAATTTCAAATATTTTAATAACTGCTTAGTCACTGTGGCAGGTGACTACAGTTACCCACTACACCAGGTCTTTCTGGCCACCAAGGACCTGCTTGATTTGAATCTTCCCACTATCAATAGAGCAGAGTTTCTTTTGATCTTTTCTTCTTTGATCACCCTCAAGCTGTGAAGCATCCTAAATGTACACCCCAAGCTGCAGGACAGTACAGCGAAGGTAAAGGACTTCTGTGATGGTTCTCCATGAGCCACTGAAAGTGAGTGTGTGCTAGAGGACATTCATCTGGTTGTGAGATGAAGCTGTTTCAGTTAGTGGCCAGCATGAAACAAGATATTTTAGGAAACTGTTTCACATCTCAGCAGTGGTTTGATGATCCCATGACAAGGCCAAAAAATAGTGCAGCAGCTGCAGGGCCAAGAGCTTAATGCTGCTTCTCTGACTTGTCTATGAACAGCTATATATAAGCCTTTGCAATTTCCTCTTGCTCCATAGAGAAACATCCAGAGGGATTTCACTAGAACTTGCCCTTGGGCTTGTAGAAAAGCACAGTGAGTGACTGACACAACAGTCATACGATCACTTCTCGTCTTGTCCCCAGAGTCTTCCACTGTTCTTAACAGACTATCGCTTGGTGTGTGGTTATGCATAATCAGAAAAGTGGGCTGGCATGGAGTGTTCACTGTTGTGCCTACAGCACCATACAGCTGTGCTGGACTGTGGCTCAGCTGCCTAATAGTCGGACCTGCTCAAGCCAAGCCTCACTATTCACATCTCAGAGTCCTTTACTTGCAGATTCCTCCATGCATGAGCTATATCTTACTCAAAGTAAGACTTGGGCATCAGCCAAGTAAGCTATTTTACACGCTGGCTTGCAATCAACACATTACCAACAATATCCATGATTTAGTGCAAAAATTTGGCCTTTGCCCATGGCTGGAAAGGTGTTTGATCAAACCCTTTTGTTCAGAGGCTGTGCGGATGCTGTGTACCCAGGTTGCCTTATGCTCTCCTGCCTCCTGATAGCAGTTCCAAACCCTTCCATTAGCATAAAAGGCAGACAGTTGAGCACACACTGAAATTCAAACATAGCACAGGGTGTTTCCTCTTCCCCAACTGACTTTTTTTAAGGATTTTGTGTTTGACTGTTTAAAGCAGAGGCTATGTTTAAGGGAGAAGAGTTTGGACTCCCTTCAGTTTTTTTTTTTTTAATTGGAAAAAGCTAGGGCAATGCTTCTGGGGTGGTGGGGGGAGGGAGGGCACAGGAGCTGCTGACAAATGTGTCCCTCCTATGCACTATGAGAATTAGTTTGCCAGAGTGAACACAGTCTGCTCCAGCTACCATGTCTGCTGACAGAGGCTTTTCTTGCTGCATGTTTCAGTGTAAATTTTCAGATGCCTTCAGTCCTGACACTTGGATCTGGAGCTAGGTACATTCACAGTCTGTCCTCAAAAAGTTAATCCCCAAATACTATGATGAAGACAGAGAGAAAGGAAGAAAGGGTGGAAGAAATATATAAAACAATCAACACACTAGAAGTCTAGAGTTTACCTGTAAGACCTTATTTTGTGACTATTTTGACTATATGTACAGTGGCAAATATCAATGTAAATATTAAAATATTTTTTATAATTATTCATTTTTCCTAGAAGAAGAGTATTTTTGGAATTGGCTTTGTAGTGTGGGATTTTTTTTGTGTTACCAGGGATTGTTTAATGGAATAATATATCTGTAACTCAAATAGAGGATCACACACATTGTTTCATCTGTTCTTTGACAGACTGAATTTTTACTGTCTTCAACCATTCACAGATTTTAAATTAAAATGCCTAAAAAGAAGGGTAAATTGTTAACGGAAAAATATACTTTAGTGATGTTCTGGATTTAGTATACTATGATCATTTAAATTAAAATGGCCCTTCATAATTGTATGAAAAGTTTCTCCCCTTGAAGCAGAAGTTAAAACTAAAACTACAGAATTCTCTAATCAAATACTGGATTAGACTTGGTTGAGCTGGCTTGTAAGATTCCTAATAATATATAGAAAGCTGTTTTCTCCTCCTCTTCTTCATTCTCACTGAAAGACAAGCAAAGCAGAAGTGGCAAAATCCAGTTGGGACTGGCCCATATTTCTTTCTGTATTTGGCTACAGTCAAAAACTACATATAAAACATTGTCTATTGCCCAGTATTCAAGTCTTGTTTTTCTGAAGAGGACTGGAAACCTTAAATCAGTTTAGAAAACTCTGGCTCAGATAACTGTCTGGCTTTTCATGTTAGTTTTGCAAACTGGAATCGATACAAACATGTTTTTAAATGATAGCAGAACGGCTAGCATGGATGTCTGCATGTTTTAGTTCTGGCTGTAATGTGCCCTTTTCACCTGGACTTGGGGTGAATTTTGTGCCTTGCTGATGATCCTGTCAAATCCAGTGCCACCAAGGTTGTTTGCTTCTCCCATGGTAACCTCGAGAGGTGGAAGTCCATTTCCTCAGCCACAGTCCCCTCTGCTGCCAGTGGTCTTTCTCTTAACCTTCTCTCATATGACAAAGGTTGTGTGCTGATGCCACCTCATGCAGAGTGAAAATGAAGACAAAGGCAGAGTTGCCAGAAGTGACTGGCAGTTTGTTTAAGCAGAATGCATGGGATTTTTTAACATTTTCCCTGACTTTTCTGCCCATCAAATCAGTTCATAGGTCTTTATAATGCACTTTTATGCCTCAAATTCTTCAAAACAAAAAGGAGCAGAAATAATCTCTTCCTCCTTCCTGTCCCCAAGCTTTTACAGCAAGACCAGTCACTCTTTAGAATTTGATTTTATTAAGTGTCATTACCTTATCACTATCTTTTGAGAAAAGTGGAGGTCAGCAGCACCCTAGATATTGTGTTAATGCACATTGTATGTTTTCAACTAGATCTTGATTGAAGATAATAAAAACAAAATAAAAAGGAGATAATAAAATACCTCACTGTAATGGTATCACTACCAAAGGTAATGCTTTGCATTGATTGAATACCTTCCTCTTCCACCAACATTAACTAACGTGCTTTGTTAATTAAGTCCTGTGAGAGAATAAGGGATCAATCGTGAAAATAACTCAGGACTAGTGTCTCTATAAAACCTCCACACAGCAGTCAGGACTGTTTTCTACACATTTTCCTAACTAAAGCCTGGTTACAGAGGCAAATTCCTTGGGCTGACAAATCAGCATATATGTCACTGCAGCACTGCCTAAACTTCAGGGGGAGAAGATGAAAGCCAATTCTCAAGCTGACTTTTTTTTTCCCTCTCTTTTTAAGATAAATTGTTAGTACATTCTTTGAAAAGGCTCTAAACCATTTGTTTTATGCAAAACACTTGAAAGACAACAAGAATTCATCAGCTGGGTTTGTAATTCATTAACTCAGATGTAGTTCTGCATCTTGAATTCACTACAGGCTCAGAGGAGAAAACAACAGTCTGTGGCCCAGTGAGGTCTTGGCTGACTTACTGCTGTTCTCCTCCTCAAGCAGAGGAATTCAAAAGGATGGTGGATGCTGGTTCCTTGTTCTCACATACTAGAGCAAAGGCACATTCACGGAAACTCAGCTGCAGAGTGCGGTTGATTTGGGTTTTTTTCTGATAAGAACTGCAGGTAGTCAGGCTATAGCTCTGTGAATGCTAAGCAGGTGAGATATATCATATGGGAACAGTTTTATCCTCAAGTCCTTGGACAACCTAATCCTTTCCTTCAGTTATATACTGGCAGTTGTCTGTCTGCATAATTCATGCGCCTGTTGCGTGTTGCTTTCCTCTGTGCTTCCATTTTGTTCCTCCATCCCACTGGTTCTGGGAGCCACCAGAATTACTTCACATTTCTCAAACAGCTTTTTGAAGTTAACTCCAGTGTTTTCTCACTAAATTGCTGAGTGTGCCACAAAGCAAGGACTTTTAATAAACAGGCAGTGCAAGCTGCCATATGCAAGAAATTCAGCATAACTACTTTTTTCCATATTCTTGTTATGGAAATTGGAAAATACTCAAGTTTCACATGAATCATAGTGAAGCACACACCACCTTATTGTGCATCCTTTCATAGGCTGAGCTGAAAGTGGGGGAGTAAGAGTTTTGCTAGG